CAAATAATATTCTCTTAATTGCTTGCTATCCAACATCATCTATAGCTAAACTCTCACTTTTTTTATGGTCACTTATAAAACTGTATCAAACTAGCTACAAACAAATCGCGGTTAAGAAACTCCAATTCATTATATCTAAATGCTATCTTGCAAAAGAGTAAAACTCTGTTTTTTGGGTAAGTTTTCTCTGCCTTTTGATTTTACAAGTTTCTGGCATGGCACATGTTCATAATTGCCACACCAGGATGACTATGAAAAGGGTAGGTATCTGGATCTATTTTCGTTCTAAACATGTTGATAGTCTTGTACGACACTCAGATACAGCATCACAAATCCAAAAAAATAAAAAAAGTGTGGTTCATGAAAGTGTTGAGCACACTTCTCTGTTTCCTTTGTTAATGTTTAGTCAATATTGCGTGTACATGCAATTAAGTCACCACTATCATATCTTACACGCTACACTTTCTTAGCTACTTTAGGAGCTTCATAAATACAAAACATAACTGTCATGTTTTATCGTTTTTTTTATACATATAATTAATTGTATCTTACAATAATTGTGCTGCGATATTAACCTCTGAATGTTTTTTAAAACTTAGGATCTACTTTTTCTTTGTCTAGTTGACATAACTAAGATAAGTTGTTTTGCCAAGAAGATTTGGAATTGATTTTTTAGCCCCATAAAAAGATGACCAATTTATTTGCCATGAGAATCAAGCTAATTAAAGCATGGGACTTTATCATGCATATATTGACATATCCTACAATTATAGATTGGACAAAACCTGTTTCATTATTTTTCAATTATTCATCTTGCAACATGAAAACGTAATAGGAAGGCCACACTTGCAAGACATGCTAAGTGGGTCATCAATTTCTTCCTTTATATATATTGATTTTATTATAATTATTAGTGTACCCAAAAGATGTCTATATATTTACTTCAATAATAAATTTAATTATACTCATTATATTAAATGTTTTTATAAACATTGAAAATTTAATCTAAGTATAGAAGGTTTAATGATATAAATATAATTATCTCTATAAAATCTTAAAAACATTGAGAACTAAATGGTTTAAGGTTAAAAATAAATTTTTGTTTGTCGCTGATCATAAAATAAAAATCCTCAACTAGTTATTTGTACGTAGGCTTATTTAAAAATAGCAACTCGAAAAGTACAGGAATCTGCAAACCCTCCCATACTTTTTCCAAAGACTGGACTTGTAACAAGCAAACAAGTTTGCACATTTAACGACCACTATAAATTCATAGTCATTGCCACACTTTTTCTCTACGAAAACAAAACAACATGGCATCATCATCCTCAAGGTTCCTTAAAACATCTCTGTCTTTTATGTTCTTCTTCCTCCTCTTCAATAATATTCTACCTTCTTTCTCCTTTCCAACTCACCCCACAACCAGTGACCTTAGTTTTTCTTCAACAGCAGAAAAACTCATAAGAGGCCTCAACCTGTTTCCAAAAGACCCCATTAACACACTCGAGAATGACCATCTTCTTGTGCCAGGAAACATTGTGGAGAAGAAGTTAACTTTCCCTAGTCTTGCTGTTCCAGGGTCTTCTGTTGAAGAACTTGGTCACCATGCAGGCTATTATCGTCTTCCTCGTTCCAAAGCTGCAAGGTAAAGATGCAAACTCATGTTCAGAAATGCTTGTTGGGTAGAGAATTCTTTTATGTGATTTTAAGGGGTTATTTAGCTTGCGTACTGCTTTATTCTGGTAGGTGGGGGAAAGTAACGTGCCAAGATGAAGTGGGATGTTTTGGTGAAAAGCAACCAAAGTTAAAATTCTTGCCAGCTATAGTTGAATCCATGTCATGTGGATTAAATAATGTGCAAAATTATTCTATTTCAATAGTTCCACTTCCACTCCTCTTTATTCAGTGTTACAAAAGAACCCTGTACCTGGAATCTTGGCTAACTCAATTGAAAATTATTTATAAGACTTTTAAGCGAGTTAAATTTGTCCTGCATGGTTTTTTTTTTCCACGCATCACACATGCATGCTCATTCTGTTTGAATTTCAATCAGCAAAATTTATCGTCACATAGCTAAGTACTGGTCTAGGTTGGTTAATAATGCAGATTCCTCATAGGTTGTTTATTAGTCAATTTTATCTTTTAGTAAATAATTAGGATCTAGTATGTGATCCTGTATTGAATAGTTTTATCTCTTTATCATCTCTGCAGGATGTTCTACTTTTTCTTTGAATCTCGAAACAGAAAGGATGATCCCGTTGTCATATGGTTGACTGGAGGACCAGGATGCAGCAGTGAACTAGCTTTGTTTTACGAAAATGGTCCTTTTCAGCTTACCAAGAACTTGTCTCTTGTGTGGAATGACTATGGCTGGGACAAGGTAACTATTAATTCTTTTTTTTCTCTCTTTACCTCACTCGAATATAACCATCCTATGACAAATAGTATCAATTTTTCTGTGTTTTACTATTCTTATTCCATGCACAGTATCTCCCAGAAAAAAAAAAATTGAAATTATGTATATATGTCCACTCTTATACTATAGAGACTATAGCTAGCTCAAAGAATCAAGTTGATACACTGCATTTGTTTTCTTGTTGGAACCAACAGTGTTTTCTCATTTTGTAGGCATCAAATATTATATTTGTTGACCAACCCACTGGAACGGGGTTCAGCTATACTTCTGATGAGAGCGACATTCGCCATGATGAAGAGGGTGTTAGTAATGATTTGTATGACTTCTTGCAGGTTAGTAGATTTCATAACTAACAAAAAAATAATAATTTCAAAATAAAATCAAACTTAACCATTAGTGTCTTTTCTATAATTACTTATATTAAGTGGTTAAACTTTATTCACCTTTAGTTAGTTGTAGATAAATTATAAACCCAAGATGATAATTGATATATAATTACCATCTAAATTTCAAACTGTAAATTAGACTACATCCATAATCATACATGATATCCACTAAATTTTACAATAATGACAGGCATTTTTCAAGGAGCACCCTCGATTCACCAAGAATGACTTTTATATTACTGGAGAGTCATATGCTGGACACTACATTCCAGCTCTTGCATCCAGGGTTCACCAAGGAAACAAAGCAAAAGAAGGAATTCATATAAATCTAAAGGTGTTGTACTGTCTCATAATTTATAGCATAACTATGAAAGGTTAAGTAATTGCTTTTTCTTGGTTGTACTGATTCGTTTCATCCCATATAATAAACAGGGTTTTGCTATTGGTAATGGATTAACCAATCCTGAAATTCAGTACCAGGCATATACAGACTATGCATTAGACAGAGGACTAATTGAAAAGGCCGACTATAATAGCATCAACAAGTTGCTCCCAGCATGCAAGCATGCCATAGAAGCTTGCGGTATAAATAACTTTCTTAATTTTTTTCCCTTTTCACTTTTGAGTTTTTTAGGCAGAGATTGGGTAACCTTAGAAAAGAAAACCCCAAGGGATAGAATTTCACCAATTATTGCAATACTCACATATTACTTATGTTCATTGACAGTCTCAATTTGTATTTCACCTGGCAGGCACTGAAGGTGGAGAAACCTGTTTATCTTCATTATATATTTGCAACAAGATATTCAATGAGATAATGAGCATTGCTGGCGATGTTAATGTAAGATATAAAATAATGCAGTTTGAGTTTTACCAATAAAAAAATAGTACTATGATCAACATGAACGAAAAATAATGCAGTTTGAGTTTAGTAACGTATTCTGTTATTCTAAATGTAGTACTATGACATAAGAAAGAAATGTGTGGGAGATCTGTGTTATGACTTCTCTGAGATGGAGGAATTCTTAAACATGAAGACAGTGAGAGATGCTTTAGGTGTTGGTGACTTGGACTTCGTTTCATGCAGTAGCACAGTGTACAGTGCTATGATGCAAGATTGGATGAGAAATCTAGAAGTGGGAATTCCCGCACTTCTTGAGGATGGAATGAGGGTGCTCGTGTATGCTGGAGAAGAAGATCTCATATGCAATTGGCTTGGTAAAACTACATATACTCTCAATTAATTGGAACCAAAATAGCATAAGTCAGAGGGATAGAGAGAGGTCATTTGGCATTCTTGGTGTGATTGACTGAAATTTTGCAAAATTGATTTAAAAATGGTATAATTTACATTTGAATGTTTTTATTCTAACTAATTTCTAACGTAATAATTTAAAAAAATAATTTCAACTCAAAGTCAATTGTGAATCTGGAATCAAAAGTATGAATACATATTGATCTAAAATCATTTAGTTGATACTTGAATGTGACTCGGGAAACTTAAATGTGAATTCAAACAACCAAGTAATGTGTGGGTGATTGGGCAGGGAATTCAAGGTGGGTTCAAGCAATGAAGTGGTCTGGTCAAAAAGAATTTGTGGCGTCTGGTACAGTCCCATTTTTGGTCGATGGTGCAGAAGCAGGAACGCTGAAAAGCCACGGACCTCTCGCTTTCCTGAAGGTTTGTATTGAAGGGTTTATTGCTATGCGTGAAATGTGAATTCACTTTTGGTGACTCTATTTTTTGGTTAAACAAAACAGGTATACGAGGCTGGTCACATGGTGCCAATGGATCAACCAAAAGCTGCACTTGCAATGCTAACAAACTGGATGCAAGGGAAACTGACAATGACAAAGAATGGAGATAATGTCTCTCCTAAATAATGTCCTCAGAGAGCACAAAACCCAAAACCATCCCTCTTCTTGCACAGATATTGATGTCATTTCCTTCTGTATATTGGGAGGGTGGAATATAATTATTTTTTATTTATTTTTTCTTGTTTCTCTTATTATCCTTGAAACTGCGCATTGAAGAATTTGAAACAAATAAAGTATCCATGTCAACAAATTGTGTACAACTTTACAACCAGATTGTGTCGAAGCAAATTTCAATTGTTGAACAGTACAATAACAACAAATAAAAAAGGTAATATGAATATGGAACATTATAAACAAAGTTTAGTAGAGTGGTAACAAGACTAGGAAGCGTGTGGCGTTTGATAGCATTGTTTCAAAAGTTGAATTGCGGGTTGAAATGAAGAGCTCAGAGGAACAGCGGACGCAACTCTGATATGTTGTGCGTTCGCATTCATTGATTTGGATAATATCATAGTGAACATCTCTCCCTCCATTACTTCATTCAGAGTGACCCCTTCGTGAATACGGAACAAGTAATGGAACATATATTTTTTTATTAGAAAACACATCAGATATGTAGAAATATATATATGTAAAAAAAAAGTAGTAGAAAATACCGGAAAAAGGGTTAAGTTTGGCAAAGTGGAAGAATTCATCGGCGGAGCAGCCAAAGAGGAGTCTTGCAACTCTATCAAAGCAGACAACGGTGAGAACCTCGGTATCTGTGGCAACTGACATCTACGGAAGAAACCAAACAAAACAAAACATGGTTGTTATATAATAGTTGGTTTGGAGAGAAGAAAACAGAGAGAGGATACGATACGAGGATGCGGAAGAGTCGTTTGGACGGAGGGTTGGAGGAGTGGCAGATGAAAGTGGGATCGGAAAGAGTCCTTTCGCAAACCGCACACACTCTGTAAAACATATCGGTGTGGTCTACGGATAAAATGCTGCACGTTACTCTTCTTGTGCTTCCTTCTTCCATCTCTCTTTCTGTTACTTTTTCCCTCTCCTGGCTCCCTTCGCTCTTTTAGGTAATTTCAAATTCCATATGCCTATCAACTCTGTTTGGATTGGAGAAAAAATTACGCATGAGAATGCATCTGTCTTTAATTTTTCTTTGTTATAATATATTTTATTTCATTAAATCATTATAAAGTGTTTTTACTTCTTTTAGTCTAATTGTTTTCAGATTTATTACTAAACAAGTCAATTAAAAGTTCCCCCTTTTTTCTGTTCTTTAAGTTTTCGAAGCTGTATGTTTCTACGTAAAGGCAACCAACTAGACATATAGTAGAAGAGGTAAGGTGAAGGATTTGGAGAAAATTAACCACCCATTTGATAGGTTGTGTTCATCGTTGCTGTTAAAGAAATGAATACACTTTGTATCACATTCTTTCTATAACGCTGTTATTGAGATAAATTTGTGTGAAAATCTATTTTGTAATAAATGGCACTTATTGAATAAAGATGAGACCTTTTGCAGCATTTGTCTGCATTTGTATGTATAATCTGGAAAGTGGAGAAAGAGCCAAAAAAGGTGCAAAAGAAGAAATCAATTCATTGAGATTAAGCTCTTCTGCTTATGTTCGCATTTCAGAAATTACAAAGCAGCAAAGAAAATTGATCGTGTGTTTTACAAGTAAAATGTTTTCAAATTTTACAATTGAACAAAGTTTACATTACAGCATTTAGGGAACTGTTGCCTGTGGTGGTCTGCAGAAGTTGACTTCCATTGAAACAGGCCCCTGATTTTTTGTCAGGTATGTCCCTCAAAACGGTAACAGAATCCATGTAGATTCCTAAGTATGATATCAATGGGTCTGCGCGTGACTTGTCAACAACTAGCTTCAAATACTGAGACTTCAGTTTTCGAAAAAGCAACAGCCTCTGATATCCGATTGTGGTGCCATTTACAACTCTCATCCATACACCATCTTGGCTCAATGCCTCAAGGTGAAACTCAATCACCCTCTGTCCCATGTGAATAGGCTCTTGTAATTGCAAAACATTGAATGATACTAGTTCTTGGAGATTTATGTACAATATCCACTTAGATTGGTTCTCCCCGGGAGCCCAATATGTGTATATACCTTCTATAAGAACATTGTAGGGACTAAAGTGAGTATCTTGAATCCCCCCTCTTATGCTGCTGGCATTAATAACAGCATTTATAGCTAAATTGTGAGAAAATATGGACCTCCGAAGTTCAGTGAACTCTTGAAGAACTTGGATATCCTCATCTGATATAAGACCGGAGGAGTTTGGGGGCACATTCAGTAAGAGCTGGCAGTTTCTACCAACTGATTTATAATATATTTCAAGTAGAATCCTTGCAGACTTTGGAAGTTCTGAAGCATGCCAAAACCAACTGGGTCTTATAGAGACATCACATGTAGCCGGAAGCCAGTCGGGACCAAATTGGTCTCCCTCGCTATTGTATCTGTTTGATGACCAACACATTAGTAAATGCCTGCATTACTCAAATCAGAAACATGGGACCTCTGACTCTATCTAATCGGAGAGTATTACATTTTTCGCATGCCATTTTGAGAGCACTTTAGTAGTCATGTACATGATTCTCCTAGCAATGGATACATGCAACAAAGCACTAACTGAAATTTACATTCTGCAATTTCATTTGAAACCAATGAATAAGCTGAATCAGAAGAAGTTCAATCCTCTCTGTGTACCTATGTACGAATAATAGAAAGAGAGTTGACGACTTCAAAAATTGCTCTATATAGAAATGTTTGACGCAGCCCATAAACCATGCAATTAGCATTAATTATAATCCAGCCAGCTATATATGATGCTAGGTGACAATGAAATAAACATTTAAACCGAATGTCATTTTGAAGTAAGGGAAACTATAGTAGTAGGGATTAGTACAAAATAGAACTTACTGATTATCAATTTTAGTAATTTCAAAGCCTGTTTTGTTGTATAGAGACCAACAAGTGGAGCCAGCAGCACCATATTCGTTACCAACCCACCTTGTATCAGGACCCAAATCAGAAAAAATAATGGCCCCTGGTTGGAATTGGTGAATCAGAGAATTCCAGCTTTTATAGAGATATTTCATGTCCTTCTCCCCTTCCCCTTTTGCTCCATCCAAAAAAATGTCAGTAATCTCTCCATACCTGGTTTTAATGAACTTGTTATTAAATAAAACATGAAATGTGTATTGACAGCAAATTGGTAAATAAAAAATCATTAGGATCACAGGGAGAACAAAATTCCAATCACGCTAACCAAACCGTTTATAAGTATCAAACTCCTGATAGCAAAAAAACAAGCAACTTTTTCCAAAAAATAGGAGGGACTCTGCTGAAGTAATATAGATCTAGCAATTATAGGTTAGTAATATATATATATATATATATATATATATATATATATATATATATATATATATATATATATATATATATATAAATTCTAGTTGTAAGATGAACAGCTGACCAATCACAGATGTATAGCATTACCAACTTTATAGTAGATGAAAAACAAACCTAACTATGGTTATAAGGTGGAAGCTTTGAACTCAGGAAAGAAAATAAGATTCAGTAACTGCAAGAATCAGAGAATCAAATTCTTATCAGCATAGAAAAATGCACCTCAAAGCCATAAAATAGGACATGTTTGGAAAAGCTTATTGAAACTAATTTTATGCACGAATGTACGAGTTAGGAAAAAATTGTAAAAAAAAACTTATAAATTGTCCAGTCCAACATAACTAGGATATGTATGAAAACAGTTTCACATATCAGTCAATAGTCCAAATATTTAAACCATTACTCAGTAAACAAATTTAGATATTCATTTCATCTATCAGTTTAGTCTCTGACGTTCATAAACTATAAAAACAAAAACGGATTGAAAAGTGTGTGTACAAGAACTATAAAAATATAAGAACTAAAATCAATAAGTTTCAGAGGAACCAAGACTAAAAGATTACACATTTCTTCACTGTTTATACTGCAAATACTTACAAATTAAACCTTTAACTTAATATATTTCCCCTTACAATATAAAACAACTTACAGATAAATACTCATACGCGAATAATTAATTAATTTAATATGTGAAAATTACTTAATTTAGTTACCTAGTGAGTAGCTCAGTCATTTGGGCCAAGTAGAACTCGTTATACAGCAAAGTGTCACCAAAGCATTTCTCGTGGCGATCCCACGGCGAAAGGTAAAGTCCGAGGCCGATGCCGGCGTCCTTGGCGGCGGCGGCGAGCTCGGCGACGACGTCGCCTTTTCCGTTCTTCCAGTTGCTGGAACGCACGGAATAGTCTGTGTAATCAGAGGGCCACAAGCAGAACCCGTCGTGGTGCTTTGCAGTGAGGATTACTCGCGAAAAGCCAGAATCTTTGGCGACGTTTATCCATTGCGATGCGTTGAGAATGGTGGGGTTGAAGACGGAGGGTTGGGCTTGGCCGGAACCCCACTCGGTGTCGGTGAAGGTGTTGGTGCCGAAGTGGAAGAAGAGGGCCATGTCGCCCAGTTGCCATTGGAGCTGGAACGCTGTTGGGAGGGGCAAAATTGGAAGAGGTGGGGGTTTCCGGGAACAAGATGCAGGGATCAAGAAATGAAAGAGACCCAGGAGGAGAATCTGAATGGGGAAATTGGGTAGTGTACAATTTGAGATTTTGATCAAGGAATTGTGGGATTTGCACCACGATGTCGAACTCTTGTTCTTCATTTTGGTAACTTGGTAAGTATGATTGACCTCAAGTGTTTGTAACACTTCCACTTCGCATTGTAATGTAGAATAATATGCTTATGAACGCATAGTCAAAGACTTTGGAATGAAGGTGGCTCTGGAGTCACTTTCTGCCAAATGGATTCATTGTGTCTGAAAGAGAAACACCGGATATCTTCAAATAATTTGAAAAGTAAAAGATCAATCTTTTGGTAGGTTAGATTGTGGTTGGACTATTAAATGACTTGGGCTTACAAGTTGTCCAAACAAATTCTGTTTTTGTTTTATCATGTTTTTGAGTCTTCCTTCCTGCACCCATCTTTTCATCATGCACCTCATACTACACTGTAATTGGTAATATTATCCTTTATATATATATATATATATATATATATATATATATATATATATATATATATATATATATATATATATATATATATATATATATATATTTCAAACACATCGAAATACTTTTCACGGTGAAATATACAAGAGTCATGTTGTCATTTGTAGTAAGTACGGGGTGCAGATGAAAGAATGGGGTGTAGGAAGAAAAAGCCATGGTTTTTTGAATTAACTGCATACCAACAACAGTCATTGGTCCTTCATGTTCCACATTTGAAGATTATAAGATTGGGCCCAAACTGCTCTTCTGGTTGCCCGAAAACTTGATTTTGACTAACATTAGATTAGTAGAGAATTGTGATCTCTAATATTAATAAACCAGTCAAGTGTTAATGCTACTCTTTGTTAGAAAATATAACATTAGCGACTGATATTTCACCAGAGTTGTTATAAGTGTTTAAACATTTATTTTTGAATTTTGAATGTGAAAACTTTTCTGATTTGTGGTTAGAAAATGTCTTTCTTTTTTTACAATCAAGTTATTTTCCTTCTAATCTTCTTTTTCTAATTTGTGGTGTCTACACTTTCTCTTCTACTCTACTAAGTACAAACCATCTATTTTCAAAGTCTAAAATTCTTGACCAATATATAATTATATAGCTATATAACTAATATAGATACAAAAAACATTGACTCTTTTTCTTTAGATTGTGCTTCTGGATAAGCAAGTTATCTATCTCTAATGCAAGCTATAAACACGAACACCCATGTATCTCATCATGAAATTGCTGAATGTGCCAATGAAAGTTGAATGGCACGTCAGGTCACGAGAACAATCAGAGAGAGAGAGAGAGAGAGAGCCAACAGTAATCTGATTTGATGACCACGAAATTGCTGTACACCTCTAATTATTACTACATTGCTGTGACTACTGTGCATGTATCTCTTTGTTAGCAACAAAGAATGTTTATTAATTATTTAACCACCGGGTAGCAATCTCTCGTTTCAAATTCAAACTTTCATAACCATTATTTACCAACCTCATCGATCAAAATGCCAATATTTTATCCATTATCATAAGTTATAGGTCAAACAGAGGAACTAGTGCAGTACTATACAATATATAAATATATATATATATATATATATATATAGAATATGTGAAGAATAGAGGTTTGAAATTATCTTAGCAATTTACAATTTGTTATCTGCATGAGGTGACTGATTGATTGGTCCTTTTCCCTTTCCCTATATCTTAGACCATGGCCACAGCCAAAGTAATACAGAACTACACAAGGCCACCTAGTTAGCTCTCAGACTTAGTCTCAGTCTAACTCTTCTTCTCTTCTTCAGTCTCAACTCAACTAATGACCAACCAACCAACCAAACCCTCATCTTATTTATCAATCTCTATGTATGCATGTCATATTCACACGCATATGTGAATATTAGCTAAAAGATAAACAAATCAAACATGAGTTGAAGAAGAAGCAAAACAATACTATAGCTTCACCTGAAAGGTGTACGTAGATAGAAACACATGTTTGAGTGTTTGACCAACACACACACGAATGCAAACTTTTAACCATTCTCAAAACAATCATGCATGCATATATGTGAGTCTATATCATGATGTATATGCCATACCCTACAGTGGAAGCTATTGTATTCTATTCTTCTACATTTCTACTTACTTAAGACTATTCTGCTACACCACATTGATGTTGCTGAGATGAGAGCGTGCATGCACGTGCGGGGAAGTGTCATATCGTGGGGACCATAGCCTCAGCAGTCAGAACTATGGCCACGTTTCGAGCGACCAGTAATATTACGAGCCTTCAAACTTTGAACCAAAAAGTGAAACTGAGAAAAATACGTTCTTTCATTTTCTTTTTCTTTTACTTATTCATAATACCGTCACGGGACACCAACAAATTCTTTGACTTTTCTCTTCACAAACCCTTGTCCCTTCTGCATATTTTCGCCCTGTTTATTAGTTTTAAGATATGAGAAATTTAATTATAAAACTTTGTTGTTTGTCAAAACCTTCTTTTAGGACAAAATTTGATATATGAATTTTATAATTAGATCTCATATGTTTAACTATTATTCGCCCTTTGTAATACAATTTAAAAATTTTCCACACAACAAATGCATTCAGGTGGAAAAGAAAACTTAAAAAGTTAAAAGCTATTTCATTTTCATTATTAATTATAAACTTTTGGTAGTTAAGACTTCTAATATCCAAATTTTGATTGAAGGGTCATATAAATCTAAATGTACTTAATTAATATTAATTACTATTACTACAATAATGCATAGGCGATCACAGGCTGTTAATCCCTTTTTCCAGCTTAGTTTGCCAACCGTTGAGAAAAGAAGCTTATGCTGTTTGAGAGTCAATGACTACTATATATACTACATGACAGAAGTTCATTTAATTATTCAAACAATTAAATTGATTTTTTTAATCAATATTCAAAAAGATAATGATGTGCAAAAAAATATCATTTACTAATAATTTAAAATTTAACTAGCCTACCTTAATATTGTATTTTTCTTAAATGAAAAACAAACCACTAATAATGTGAATTTATGCATAAAAATATTACATATTGATATATTAATGTTCGTATATTATATCTTGTTCATTTCAAAATTTATAGTAACAGATTAAGTTTTGTCCATAACTATTAATAATAGTAGTAGAAGTAACCTGACACTTCATTTTGATCTACTAGTAAATGATAACTTTTTCTTACAGTGATATTAATTAACCACAGTTGTGTATGATCGGTTAATATAGCCCAATAGATCTGAGGCCTCTTGCTCAGACTGAGAGGTTTTCTTTCTTGGTTGAATATTGTTATTACTCCAGTAAAAATTAGGGCTTTGAATGTTCAATAGAAATTCTCACTTCTTAAGAATACATAAAAGAAAAAAGAATACCTGTATAAAAAGAAAGTCTTATACTATTTACAGACGAGAATGGTTATTCCTCAAAATTTGTGATAATTTCGAACTATTATTTCAGGAATTGTAAGATTTATATTATTATAACACTCTGGTATATTCCGTTTGGTATGATAAAGCACAAAAAAATATTATGAGTAAAAACGTGATTAAAGAGTTTCCCTAATATCTGTTGACATAAGACTTTTTAAGCAAAGTGGTGAAGATTGAGGATATCAACCTCAATCTAGGATAGGCTAGATCTTAATGGCTTTAGCGACACGAAGGTTCTCTGACAAGATTAAATTGGATTAGAGTATGTCGGAGCCCTATACTACCCTACAGTTGTACTCATGCACAAAGGTCCAATCTGGAATAATATTTCACAAAAAAGAAGTTGCAGATAAAAGATATATGCACAAAGAAATTTAATTATTGAAGCAAATCTTGCATTTGCATGTCTAAAAGATGACTTCAAATTGGAATGAAGTATATGTGGCACAATTATGCAGGTTTTCTACCTCTGTTTACCCTAGACTAAACTATTTATGCTGCTGGTCCAGTTATCAGATTTGCATCTAAGCAAACCTTCATTCATTTGAAAATCTACAACATTGAGTTAATATTTGAAATTACAAGAACAATTATAATTTGACTATCACGGCTTCTCGTCACATCATCGTATGCATTCAACGTTCCGATGCTACCTTATTCAAGAACTAATATTATTCTATATACAATCTACTCTGTCTCATATCCTGCCACCAGATTGATGCTGCTGCTTTTGAACTACTGCTTGTCACAACTTTATACAGCATCACCATCACATTATATCACAGGGCTACTGAAAATTTTGAGTACACAAGCAAGAGATTTAGTCGGATTCATATACATATAGCCCCTAAAACTCATAGACATAGCTATACATAAGTTTTCTGAGTAAGTCTATTATCATTCATGCACATCTTTTCTAACATTTCCATTTTATAAAGCGGATAAAATGGTGTACATAAGTGCAGAAGTATTTTAGTAGTTAAATAAAGGGAAAAGAAAAAGAGCATGGAATGATTTTGGATTTTATATCTGGGTGGGGCTGATTATATGTGGATGGTGAAACGTTTCTTTCATATATCTGGAGATAATGGTCAAAGATTGGTGTTACTGTTTTGAGCACTATGTACAGTGGTATATCCATCAAGAAAGTGAGAACAAAAATGCAGGTATTATATAGAGCTAGCAAATTACGAAAAGCGTGGACTATAAACTAAAGCCAACGTATCTTCCTAGATCCCTGCCTACCGACGAAGATTAGCTTCCTTTAATCATAATATATAATAAACTTTACTTTAATGGATCCCACTGTATAATTCTTCTTTTCCACGATCCCTTCTGTTGTCTACATTCATCAATTCATTCAACCAAAACAATTTAACACAAAGGGACAGCGTAAAGCCATGAAGAAACAGTTACTACCATCATTGCTTTAAGTGTTAATGATTGAAGTGTTGTTTTTCTAATGTGATCAGTTTCATTACACTAACAAAAAAAAAAAAAAAATCTTCACGTATACACCGTGTATATATAGACTACTTTGAAGAGGGTTGGTGTCCTATAGGTAAAGTCAATATGAATTTATCAGATAAAACTTAAATTTTTAATACTGGGTTTACATCATGTATCTTTTTAATTGATTAGACCGTGAACTAATTCAAATCTAGTTATAAAAAAATTGGGAAATTAGAATTTTATCAAGTTTGAGTCTTGTTTTAAAAGGTAAATTTATTTTAATTTTTAATAAAAAATCAAGTTGTTAAAGAAGACATGTAATTATTTTTTATCCATAAGACCATAATTGATCTCTACTTAAACACGTGAATCAACTATTTAATGCTGACAGCAAAGGCATGCATACGTTAGCAATGACACAACTGAGTTCATTAAATAAATCAAATATGCAGCTGCATAATTGGTGTTGTTCAAATTATTTTCAAACTATATATGATCAAAATTGAAAATAATTGTTAGCCTTAAACTCATAATTCATGTCATAAAGTAGATTCTAAAGCCACTGAATAGAAGAAAAGGATATATAGATATATATATGGAATATCATCACGTATGATCTACGAAATCAAATAGGGGCTTTGCAGAGAGACCTAGGTCTCTTCTGTATTTATATATGTCGTCAAGCAACACAAGACTCCCTATAGTAGGAATGTTATTCTAGCGTACGTGACAGCACAGATCTGTGATAATAGTTTTGCCTATATGTTTTTCACTATGCTGCCGGTAACAACTAGAAAATTCCACTGATTAATTAGTCAATCTAAACATAACACCTGACCAGATGAATTTAAAGGCAACCAATCTCATCCATAGGACCCTATCAGATATGAAACAGAATCATCATTCTCATCACATCCCATTATAGCCAGATATTTTAACATATTTTTCTAATGCAAGTTATTGATTAAATTTTATTAAAGCAATAAAAATAAGGAAAACTAATCAGATGAGAAGATGAAATCCAAACAAAAATTATAGTTGCTTGAATGCTTCATTGTTTCAAAGAGTGTATATAATATATGCTAGGTGTAGCTAGTTTCCTCAACAGCTAATGTGCATGCAATTGCCAGACAACAGATGTTTGTTTGCTAGGGAAAAGAGTGTAAGGAGAGAGAACTCTTGATGCATCATCACAAAGTTAGATGTTATTTTGCATCTACAAATGAATATCCAGCTATATTTCATTTTCTGGTTCTTTAGTTGTAAAGCTTAAGGACGTGGTCGTGTGCAGTTCCAAAAGATACACCTACTGCTACACAATGATTTTCTGACAACTTACATAATACTACTACATAATTAAGTCCATTAATATCTTCAATATATATTCAGGTGCGCCTTTGGCACACATGTCCGCCAGTTAGATGTGAATTTAATTAAATTATACCACAAGTATTTTAATATATTGGGTGCACCTTTTCAATTTTTTCTTTCTGTCTTCTACTATCGTAACGTTTTACTTTTGTAAGAGTGTCAATGCTTTAATTAACAATAATGATTAAATATTAAGCCACCGCACTATGACGAAGAAAACCTGGCCAATTAATTCCCCATTTTGGTCCTTGTGTTTGGATAGAGTCATAAATCTGGTAGCTGTAACCATCACTACAATAAGCCTGTTGGGGGTTATGTTTCTTTCTGTATGACAAACTTTGGATACTTTTGTGTGTGTTTAAATATTAATTAGAGAAGAAATTAAAAAGGGAAGAAATTATTATAACAGTGAGTGGTCTGGCTGGGGTTAGAGATTAAAAAGGTTGAAGGTTAGAAATTTCTCCCTGAGAATGAGTCCACGTTAGAATAATGGTAATAAATTAAATCATTTCGTACATAAACGTCCTATCCATGCTTTTCATTTCAGTTTTGTTTCTCTCTGATTACACAATAAAATAGCAATATTTCAACTGTTCAAAAGCTAGGTCTCTTGTTATAAGGCATAGCAGTCCCCACCAAAGTTTCATTAGAAAGTGAGGGTTCGAATTCGGATCGGTTTTGTAGAGTTGTTCCTGGGAAGGAGAGAAAATGGGAAGAGCTCCTTGCTGTGACAAGGCCAATGTGAAGAGAGGACCATGGTCACCAGAAGAAGACTCAAAGCTGAAGGAGTACATCGAGAAGCATGGAACTGGAGGGAATTGGATAGCTCTTCCTCAGAAAGCTGGTAAGAAACATAGTCGCATGTCTTCATTCTTCACAACGTAAGTAGCAAACCATGTCATGAAAAATGCTAGAAATGTTAGACTTTAAACCTAAACATCCTTTCATTTGCATGTATTCTCTTTCTCTGTCTATGTCTACAATGCTCTGACTCTGATATATGATTATAGGTCTAAGGAGATGTGGAAAAAGTTGCAGATTGAGATGGCTTAACTATCTTAGGCCCAACATTAAGCACGGGGAGTTCTCCGACGAGGAAGACAGAATAATTTGCAGCCTTTATGCTAATATTGGAAGCAGGTACTACTTATTGCTACCCATTTTTATGCACTATATATGCATAGCTAGACCCACTAACTGTACTTAACAAATTCTATAATTAAGTATTCCCCAGATCCAGAATATTGAGATGGACATTCTATTTTTTCCCATTTTTACTTCAGTCACAAAATAAAAATACATGCTCTGCTGAAATGTCCAAGAAGTCTGTTTATATTTATTTAAAAGAGGTAAAAGGAAAAGAAAAAGAGGAAAAAAAAAAAACACAACAACTAGGGATTTGACCATTTGAGAAAACTCCGCAGTTTTCTCGATTCTGTCTAGATTTGGGAAGCTGGTCTGCAACTTGGATGCCAAGTTTAGATCTAGCCACAGCATGCACTCAAATATGTTGTGTAAATGAAGGCGTTGATTTATAAATTATTTTTGGTCTATTTTTTCGTGTTATTTTAGGTGGTCAATTATAGCTTCTCAGTTACCAGGCAGAACTGACAACGATATCAAGAACTATTGGAACACCAAGCTTAAGAGGAAACTCATGGGGTTGCTTCCTGCATCTCATCAAAGAATAGCACCCTATCAACACTCCTCCACTCAAAACCCTCCATCATCATTTCCTTCTCACTCATCTCTATCCTCCTCAATCTATAGGGACTACTGCAACAACTCTCATTATTACATCCCAGCACCAGCATCATCTTTCCCATGCCTTGAACCAATATCTGTTCCTTCAAGTAATTACACAAGCACAAGCACAAGCACCACCACCTCTCTCCCTTTTTACCAAAACCATGACCCTTTGGTCAATGTTAGTCCCATGCAGTATTACCCCACAACAGACAGTTCCATGCTTGTCTTTGGAAGTGAAACAAGTTGCAGTTCTTCTGATGGGAGCTGCAGCCAGGTCAGTCTTGGCAGAGAGATCAAACAAGAGGAAACGGGGTTTCAGAATTTCATGTTTGGAGATCAGCACATGAACAAATTCATGCTTAGTCAAGGCAACATGAATCACGATGGAGGTGAAGAGTACGTGAACCAATGGACAGAGAAGCCAAACGGGTGCTTCTTCCAAACGCAACAAACAGCATTGGATTATGATATTGAAGTAATTAAGCAACTGATTAGTAGTAACAGTAGCAGTAATAATAGTAATAATGGGTATTTTAGTATTGATGAAAACAAGACGGGGGAGAAGGGAGTGTACTACAACTACTGAACTGAGTGCTACTGATGCATGACTGACTCCTGGAAGTGAAATCAGAGAGATATGATCAGTGAGAGGCATGGGAGTGGGGAAGATTCAGAAAAGACTTTGAGGTTGTGTTGTGGAGTTCTGTGTTCTTTAATGAAATGAGATAATTCTTATTTTGACAGTACATGGTAAAAGCTTCTTTATATTTTTGTGTATATCCTCTAGGAAGTGAAGTGATGATTTGATGACGATGATGTTAGATTTTAGTAAGTATTCTCTCGATGCAAGTGCAATCCTCCAATCAGACATCAATGCTATCAATACCAGAAAACAAGGCTTTTAGATTCAAAAAAGAATTTTGTTCAAATATTATTTATTACATTACTTTTTACTACTGAGTATTTAAATAAATACAGAATATATAATTACTTATTTTTATCTATTATTCTTTATTTGAATTCGTAAAGAAACTCTAAATTCATCATCTCTCAACAAAGACTTAAGTAAAAAATAATTAAGGAACCAATCCAGAGGCTATTATAATGTTATTCTTGTGTTCTATGTATTACTTACGTGAAAATTGAAATTCATTATTGTGAGATGAGATTTTCCCTTTCCATAAAATTTTTCTTTCTCTATTTTTGTGCTATGAATTTGTATCACTGTAATTGATTTTGATTCTAACGTGTGATTTATCAGAAATAGAAATATATTTGGTTAAACACCGAGATGAAGAATCTTTTGAACACTAGCTAGGTCCGAAGTCAAAATAGAAGTTAGTTTACGACAAATCTTCATTATCTTAAACTAATAAAAAGGCAATAATGGCCAGAAAAGAGAGAGAGTATGATGCATATGGTGGAGGAAATTTGTTGTTTTGTATGAAAGAGTCAGAATTCAAGTTGTCTAAGATTAACATAAATTATTAACACAATCTCAGTCATAAATATTAATTTACAACATTTTTAATTATTTTAAGAAGGCAAAACCCATCTAACTTATCTTGAATCTTTTGATATAATTTTCTGCAGAACATCTGCTATTGTTTATATTGGACAAATGAGCACACACACACACACATGCCATAATATATAAACATATATACATGAAATCGACTTTACAGAGACATCATCGATGTACCTGGATTTAAAATTCTTTCATTCGTTAAAAGTTCTCTTTCTTTGTACGGCATGGATACACATTATTCATATTTATTCGCAATTATTTAGGTTTTGTCAGAAAATTCCAATTAGAATCAAAATAAAAGTATATTGTTGGTTGGAAAATCAATTATCTATATCTCATTTAAACATTTTTTATTTTAAATATACATTAAAACGAAAAGTTAATTGCAACATGGTAGTATAGTAACTTGAAAATTTGCTTGAGTGGACATGACATAAATTTCTATCCACTTTAATACAATATTAATTTTTCAAGTTTACTTCTGCAAACTTTATCTTCTGCATTATTAAATAAAGTAATCCTTATTAGAAGGATTTCAGCCAATACCTTCATAAAGACAATATATGTTTCTTCCAATAACAAAAACAATATAAATGTTTTAGTTTTTTGTTTCTGAACTGATCGATATCTTATAAGAATCTATGTTAATTGTTAATTTTAACTTCAGGTCGTATCTATCCAGCTGGTGGACTCTTCTGTGTATGATTTTGACCATTGTCTGCGACTCATGGAATAGTCATCGTCATGTGATTATTCTACTCATTACACTATTTCTTTGTTCTTCAAATTCTCCACTTATATTAAATTCATTGACTAATCTAAATTCCAAAAAGTTGATTACGTTCACACGCAAAGGTGAAAAAGTTAACCCTATTAAATCTTTCTCTTCGTTTCTTTTACTTTACTGAGAACAACACATTACAAAGCTTATGCATTTGTGCCCAAAAAAGGGAACTGAGTCATCATTTAATGTATTAATCACATTGAAATGTATTATTAAGAAAATTTTTGAGTAAAATATTGCTGTTAATTTCTGAATTAGTACTGTAGTATTAACATTGAATGCATAAACAAATACTCATAAAAATATTGATTTTAAGTGTGAGCATTTACTAACTTTTATGGGTCAAACTGGAGTTTGATTGACTTTGATTCTGAACTGCAGTGCACTGAGAACAAAACGCTCCTTTCGATTTTCAACTTGTCACCTTTCATCTCATAACCATTTTTCTTGGGACTGTGGTTCATTACTCCTCTCACTACGTTGACTCTTCTTCTTCTTCTTCGATCCAAACCTTCACTCGCAGTTAATATAATCAAAAGAAATTTTCATGTTGCTGTTCGATTTCATATCCTGTGGAGCAAACACCAAGTGTTTTTAACATTGTTTCAACTTTTCAAGTATGAGGAGCTAACATGACTCAAAGGCTAACTCTAGTAAATTTCACGCCCGAAACTTCAAGCTCTAAATAAAACATTTACACTTGGTTGAAAACGGAAGAGAGATATAGAGACAAAGAAAATAGGTAGGTGAAAACAAAATGGAAATATGATGAAAAATTTCCATGAAGACTTTAGAAATACAATATTAGTGATGGTTCCAATTTTTGGGATGGGAGTAAAATAACTTATCTTCTAAAGTAGTAATTGACTAGCTAGGTAGCAATTAAATTCATCCATTTTTATTTATTATTATAATAGTTATATTGAAGTTCTTTGTTATTTACTTCTCACATTTATGAAATTTTGTGATAGAGAGAGTTTTATAGATATCACAAATACTTATGGGGTGAGTAATTATGCTCTCTTCTGTATCATAGTACAACATCAAAGTATGAAAGAGTAAAGATTTAAAACTATAGAACACGTTTTGTATTTTTAGATTACATTTATGAAATAGGTATATCTTATTTTCTTATTTTTGTATTTTTAGATTGCATTTAGTATTAGAGCATAATAAATACCTTTGCCTTATTTTGAATATATTGAAGTATAAATATTTTGGTACAATCAATATAGGTTGTCGCACTCATCTCATACTACATTATATTGTAGATTTTGTTTTGCACTATGAGTATAATTCTCAATTTATTTAGTCCATTTTATATGATTGAGTTAAATACGCTACCATTTATAAGAAAACAAAAATATTTGATTAAATAAAAATAGGAAATAAATGAAATAAAAATTTGATCGATAAATTATTTGAATGAAATCTAAGGACTCGAAAGAAATATTCTGAGGGTCATGTTTTGGGCCTTCAAGCAACGTAGGGTTTTCGGCTTAAAGGTCTCCTTAGCCCATTACCCAACAAGTCCATAGCCCAAATGCGAATATCTCATTGCCCGTTATAAATACTTTCGCCACTTATTACTGCATGTCAAGTTTTATATGATGATTATCATCGAATAAAATCATGAACGCTGACCATATATGAAAAATAACTTAAAATGGATATTAGAATAAATATATAGAAATTTTATGTTAATTACGTTTAGGTGCACGGATTAAGTCCTTAACACAAAAAACGAACATGATTAGAATAACCTACATATTTAGTGAAGTTTTATTTTCAAATAAAAGATAGTAATAATAGAAAATAATTAATAGAACTTATCACATAATTATGAAGTTCAAAATATACAAATTATTAGTTTTTTTAATTCCATTTTAGTAATTTAAAAAATATTTTAATTTTTAAATTTAATTATTTATATATAACTAATGATCCATACTTGTTTTATTTTGTTCTCAAAATAATTAGTATATAGAAGATAAATAGATAAAATAAAATAAAATTATATGTATTACTAATGCAAACAATTCTCACGATGTCGGATTATATTAGAAATAAATATAGAGTAATTATGTAACGGTATTTATTTAAAAATATAATTAACAAAATAAAATTACATGTAAATTTTATTTATGGAGTGTGTAACAGGACAACTAAACCACTAATTTAGTGGATAATGAATTATTAACTATAAAAAGAATTCACAATAATGACTCAATATTACAAGTAATTATTCATCTTCAATATTGTAAAACTTATATTAGAATTATGGATAATGAATTAGGAAGTTAAGAGAATGTGTTAAAAGAGAACTTGAGAGAGATAACCATAGAGAAAAGTCATACTACACAAATGTCCCCTCATTGTACATAATTCTTCATTAAAACATTGTTTATTCTATTTCTTGTGCTTCTTCTTAGGTCCACTATTTTCGGATCACTCTCCATATGACTATTCTCTATAACTATCTTTCCATCTCAATAGTGCTACCCGCGTATGTTACAATACTTCTTCCACAAAAAAAACAACCTTGTCCTTAAGGTTAAACTCTGAAAATGATTCTTCGATCTCTTTAACATCTTCCTAAGTAGTTGTTGAAAGTCCTAGGCAATTTGATTGAATTGAGAAATTGAGAGAATATGTCAGAAAGAATTTGAGAGAGAGAGAAAATAGTATAGAAAATTCATACCACACACATATCCCCTCATTGTACATAATCCTTCATTAAAATATTTATCATTCTATTTCTTGGGCTTCTCCTCAGATCCACTACTTTGGTATCACTCTCCACGTGGTTATTCTTCATAACTATCCTTCTATCATTGTCTACCTCAACAGTACTCCCATGTTACAATACCCCTCCATAAAACAGTAATTTTCTACTACAAGAAATATTGAAAATACCGACAACCAAAGTTGTCGATAAATATTATCAATGGAAATATTTTTATTATTTATTTCTCCCCATCTACCACTTTCGTATCACTCTCCATGTGGTTATTTTCCATAATTATCTTTCTATCATTATCCACCTCAACAGTGCTACTCGCGCATGTTACAATACCCCTCCATAAAAAATAACCTTGCACTACAAGAAATACTGAAAATACCAATGACCAAAAATCCATTGAAAATTGGGTTGTCGATAAATATGCGCATGTTACAATATCCCTCCATAAAAAAAAACCTTGCACTACAAGAAATACTGAAAATACCGATGACCAAAAATCCGTCGAAAATTGGGTTGTCGATAAATATGCGC